ATATATATATATATATATATACACACGTTCTCACGTGCATTCAAATTACATCGTACGCATAAATTTCATATAATTAACATTCCCTTAACGATGAGACAATCCGATGCAATAATCGCGACTGATCTCTTTTTTCTTTTCTCTTGGCAATCGGTGACTTAATTTAACGCCATATGGGAAAAGGACGGCGAGAGACGGAGAACGGATCTTGTATAAACATGAAATTTGTTCATGATTCAATTATTCGAATTCACGAAGGACATCGAGAAGTTTCGTATTAGAGTTTCGAAATCGCTGCGATACATAAAACTGTTTGTTTAAAAATAATATTAATCACAATCTGAAATGTCAACAAAGCTGCATTACTTAACATCTTTATAACTGCGTTTTACTCAAATGTGTGCATTGAGCTCATTTCTACGAACATCTCATATGTCGCTATGATAACATTTTATAAGCTCGTTAATTATTTTAATTATCGAATATTCAAAGAATTTAAAATTAGAAACATTATCATAACGAGTCACTTTTTAATAGCAACTGGTATCAATGTTAGCATAGAGCAATTATTTAATAACTAATAATTTAATTTAACTATTAATAATGTTAATAATTATTAAATGTAAAAATATATTTGATGACTGAGTAATAAATCAAATTTATTTTCTGTCAACAAGCCGTCTTATTTTTATCCTTCAGGCGAATAGAGTGGAGGAAAGCATGGAAGAAGTGAAAACTTTCTTCAGAAGTTCTAAAACAATTGTAAAACTTCTAAAGTTCCCTTTCACATTATTTCTCTGTGAATGCTAATATTAGCTCTAAAAAGAGCATTTAAAAAAATTGGTAACTTTGGTTAAAACAAGATTGTCGTATACATAATAAATTGATAATTTTGGTATAAAGATATAATAATAAATAAAGTTAAGCGTGTTAAACACCGATTTCTTCTCTTCAACGTTAACGTTTGGAAATGGAGACCACAATGAATTATGCGAACGAGTTTAAATGTATTTTATCCCAATAATTGACGACGATTGGAATATGAGAAAAATTCTAGAGGGACTAAAGATTCAATTGACGAGTAAAACGATGCCGTATAATACGACTCGATTGGCCCATTGCATCCCTTTTCATGTTATTAATATATTTTTATTCATTTATTATGCATCTCTAATCATTAAACACTGGAGAAGCGATGATCAACATTTTAACGTTCTTATAAATTGAATTTTATTCCACATTCTATTTTATGAAACTTAGATTTTTTAATTTAAATAGATTTTTTGATTATTTCTGAAAATCGTTGATTATGTTTTAATTAAGTCTTTGAGAAAAATTCGAAAAAGTCGAATATGTAAGATTGTAGATAAACGTGTGACTAATTTCGGAAAAAAATATCCGAAAATATATTTGATCCGAGAACATACTGATAAATTTAAAATTAAAAAAAAAATTTATAAAAAGAAATTTATATTAATGTTTTTATTTATAAGAAAAGTCTTTGTATTAGAAAATTTCAAAAATTAAGATGTTTGCATCGCAAGTTTAACATAACATAATAATTTTATTAAATAATTATTCATTTCTGTAAGGACATACTTTTAAAAGATTAAAATCGAGAAATTCAAATTTTTTTGCTGTCGTATAATTAGAAAAAGTTTTAAAAATAATTAGTCTTTGAGTATCTTTTTCCAATATCGATCTTGAACACTAATAATCAGGCACGAAGAGCAAGATATAAATGAAAAAAGTACATTTGATTTTTTTTAGGATATGACATAGAAATATTTTAGAAACAATTTGGTCATTGATACAACTCTTTTACAATAAATACTTGATTATTCCTTTCAAGTTTAATCTATACAACTCGAAAAATATTGCAATTTGATCATATTCTCATTAACATTATCAGTTTGCAATGTTTTTTTAATATCCTTACATTAAACAAATTTTTAAATTTATTTTTATGTTTTCAAAAGTAATAAAAATAATATTTTCGCATTATTCATATACTCTACTTTTATTCTATTTTTATTTATTAAAATATTTCGCATAGTGTTTCATGAATTCGGATAAAATCTAATTGAGATTGGAATTTTTAGATAGAAATTTTATTTCTACGATTACTTAATAATCTTATTTCGAGAATCAAATGTCTTTTTTCATCCACATCACAAATTGAAAATTTGATTATTTATTATTATAATATATTCATCATTGACGCCATTTTCTCATAATCGCATTTTTCTACTTATTTCAATTTTTCCTTTTCTTAAATGTCCTTTACTATTTTTTCGATAATAACTTTCTTATATTGTAGGAAAATGTGAATACACTAATTCAATTCTGAAACTCGTGAAAGAGTTACAAAAGATTTACTGAATTTGATATAATTATCTGATTTTCGATTTTGTATCCCGACAGCAGAATTTGCTGCATAAAAAAATTGCGCGATTAACGCAATCTTTATTCTTTCTCTTATATATAGAATTTAAAATTAAAATTAATTATTTAATAGTTTTACACATAGCTTTTCCGCTTGTGTCGTCATGCATTCAGTTCCATTTAATTTAATCGACAAATTCTAATTTTATGGCATGGAAAAAAAGAGAGAGAGGAACAAATCATTTATCAAATAATCGGTCAAATAATTGGCAGAATCATTCGCTCGTTCGTTCACTCATTCGTTCGCTCGCTCATTTACTCGCACATCGAGTTTCTTCTCGCGAAGACCGTCACAGAAAATAAAACGCGCCCGAAATCAACTCTTTTTCCTTAAAAACAATAATGTAAGACTAGAATTCAACAATACATACGGTTTTTAATCGCTGTACAAACGCAGTTAAAGTATAAAAGTATAAACAGCTAAAACATGAAAAGCAAAACGCCGTTTAGAAGTAATTCGCACGTAATGCGTTAATCAAAATTATGTGTCTGAATTTTTAAACGGAATAATCACAGGAGAGGACAGTTCGTCGAGAAGAGAACCATTAAGAATTGCTTTTCTTTTTCGAAGTTTACTCTTTCTCGCAGTGTTTGACGTTCGAAGAGACACTGAGATCATAATATTTCCAATCTCTTTTAAGAAATTTCAGACCGATCTGTTTTCCTTGATTAATATATCAGCGAGAACAAATCATTTTTTCAAGCTTGGTTGCACTTTAGTGATGCGTAGCTGGATAAAAGATAGTTTACGATACAATTCTCGAAAAGAACGATTTGCTTTAAAAATTTAGCTACATACAGATCTGAAAATAATTTTGTTGGATTATCAAAACACTTAAGTATATATTGTACAATGAATAATGCTGCAAAAAGTTTTGACATTTTAGCAACTAACTTAAGCATCTTAATTATGATTATCCTATATAA